CAGTTTTGGTCACAGATATAATATTAAACATTCTAAAAACTCCCAAACGGCGAGAGGCGTGCGTGGCTCACGTTTCCAGAGCGTCTTCTGTACCTGGGGTGGCGATGCTGCCGCTGAGTTAGTTACTCGCTGATTATTATTGTATTATCATCGGTCATGTTTATAACATTTACCTGCTGTTGAGCCAGGCAGCCCCTGTAAGTCCTCCCTCGCCATGTAACGTGGTCGCTACCGTAATATCAGCTGTTCCATGCAGCCCCTTTAAACCCTCCCTCCCCATGTAACGTGCTGGCTACCATCGCATCAGCCGCGCTGTCTAGCCCCTGTAAACCCTCCCTTCCCATGAAACGTGGTCGCTACCATGGTATTAGTTGTTCTATCCAGCTCCTGTAAACCCTGCCTTCCCAATGCAATGCGGCTTGTCCGGCTCACCATTCAAGCGGAGATTCTTAGCTCAAAGGGCCTTACCTGACATAATCGTGGCCGGCTAAGTTATGGACGTCTTCAATGATTTATGGTCTCAAGTCAATAAGCGACAGAGGCCACGACCCACTTTCTGAAGTCAGGATTTCTACCGCCTCCACTGCCGCCGTGTGATGGTTGGCACACCCGACCCGCGATCCAGAGGTCACCAGTTCGATTCCATGTCCTGGCACCGCGGTTGAAACAATGGGGCAAGGTTCTTAACTCCCTCGCCCCCCCTACCCTACCGCCGCCTATGTCCAGTTGGCGGTGTAACCAGATTCACCGCGGTTAAGTCGACCGGTGGGGCCGCTAGTGGTGGGGGTATAAAGTGTGGGTGCTCCCACCGCTTCCCGCCCCCTAACTGGACATCTGTGGGGAAAAAAAGAGCTTCATAGCTCATCGGATTTCTCCAGGATAAATACAGATTCTGATTCTTCCAGCACGTCTGACCAGGATGGAAGAATAGGCCAAATGAACCCTCTGGAGAGACTGCCTAGAGCGACCTTCAGGGGGGGGGGGGCCTTCTGTCAGCTGTGGGATGAGCAAGCAATTGCAGGGCTGCACCTTTACGGTCATCAAAGTGCGCAGTGCGGTTAGAATAAATTGGCAATCGTTTGACCATAATTCACCACGCCGGTCGTTGCCGGTTCATGAAGGGCGCGGGGCTCAGGCGCCGGTTGAGACGTCGCTCGCCGCCGATGTTGACCGCGGCGGAATCGAACTCAGCTCGCCAGGTGCCCGGGCCGGTGCGCTAACCACTGCGCCACCGCTCGCTCACTCCCATCCACCTGTAAAGAGGTGGCTACAGCGAAGGAAGTGGGGGGGGGGGGGCACTTGTGAAACATGGGGGAGCGGGGTTTGGGGAGGGAAACACGCTGCGGGTTTTGTGACGTGACGGGGACGTGAGCTCGATTGCACACGTGCTCGGCATGACCGTATCACTCTTAGTGACAATGGTGTCACTACTAGTGACAGTGGTGTCATTACTAGTGACGGTATAAATGCTACTGTTACCATGGTATGACTACTAGTGATAATGGTATCACTCTTAGTGACAGTGGTATCACTACTAGTGACAGTGGTATGACTTCTAGTAACCATGGGATCACTGCTGTACAGGATTCCCTTCTTATTCACGAACTTGCTATCCGCGAATTTGGCTCTCCGCGAATCGCATCTGGGACTCTAAATTATTGCACCGAGAGAGAGAAAAAGAAAGAAAGTGATAAAGTGATGAGAGATAACGCGAGGAGAGATAAAGTGATGAGATCGAGTGACCCTGATTATTCGCGAAGAGGAATACGTTCCGGAGATGCTCGTGAATAGAAAATTTCACGGCTCACGATATTGGCCTATGAAAACCTCGTTTTGAATTAATTATGTTAAATAAATACAGTACATGAAAATTGTATCAGCACCTTCTCACATCACTTTACCTGATCGTTTTATATCTCATCACTTTATCTCTCATCGCTTTATCTCTCATCGTTTTATCGCTCATCACTATCTCTCGTCACTTATCTCTCACCACTTTATCTCTCATCACTTTATCTCTCGCAACTTTATCTCCGATCGCTTTATCTCTCATCACTATATCTCTCATCGCTTTATCTCTCATCACTTTATCTCTCATCACTATATCTCTCATCGCTTTATCTCTCATCACTTTATCTCTCGTCACTATATCTCTCATCGCTTTATCTCTCATCGCTTTATCTCTCATCGTTTTATCTCTCGTCACTTTATCTCTCATCGCTTTATCTCTCATCGCTTTATCTCTCATCGCTTTATCTCTCATCGCTTTATCTCTCGTCGCTTTATCTCTCATCGCTTTATCTCTCATCGCTTTATCTCTCTTCGCTTTATCTCTCGTCGCTTTATCTCTCGTCGCTTTATCTCTCATCGCTTTATCTCTCATCGCTTTATCTCTCATCGCTTTATCGCTCATCACTTTATCTCTCATCGTTTTATCTCTCGTCACTTTATCTCTCATTGCTTTATCTCTCATCGCTTTATCTTTTTTATCCTCTCTCTCGCTCTCTCAATGCAGTCATGTCGAGTTCCAGATGCAATTGGCGGATAGCAAGTTCGTGAATAATGAAGGGAATACTGTACAGCAGTCATTAGTAGTGATACCGTTGAATCTACCGTGAATCTACCGCGGTGTGCATCTGCATGCACGCGGTCCGTGCCGTCACGTAGTCTGTGCTCGACATGCATTGTCACGTCTTATTTCCGGTCCGCGCCGACGCGCGTCTCTGCATTCCAATTTAACCGCATCCGAGATCGGCCCTCGCAAGGCCCAGTGCTGCACGGTTGCAGCGGCCAGTGGCCACGCTCAGTGGGGGCGGGTGAGGAGGGAGGAGGAGGGTTCTTCCTGGACACCAGCTGAACGCGAGTTGCACGCGAGGCCGCCGGACAAAGCGAAGAAATGTATTGATGTCCGTGCCTGCTGTGGCGGAGTTTTGCAATAACGCTCGCTCGGGGTAAATATATATATTTTTTAAACCCAACTCTCTGTTGCTTGGGGGTTGTAGAGAATGCACAGTGCGGTCACAATGCAGCCCAGTGTTTGTGCGCTCGCTCGCTCGGTTCACGAGCCTAGTGGGATGCCTAACGTTGCTCCTGCCCCGCTGTGTGTGGGTGTGATGGTTGTGTGCGAGTGTAGCGATTCGTGTGGGGGGGGCGGTGGCGCAGAGGTTAGCGCTACGAACCCGGCGACCCGAGTTTGATTCTCTTTTCATGACCGGCAACACCGGTGACAATTATCTGAACCGGTCCTGCGCCTCCCCTAGGTCGGCTAGGCCTCAAATAATTACCTGGTGCTGTGTGTAAACATCGCCACTTTGGAGACAAAGGCAGCTGAGCATGGTACTGGCCACCCACCCCCTCGTGTGCCGTGTCAGCCTTTCATTGGTGCTCGCTAACAGCACTTGCCCGCGTCGTCATTTCAAGGCTATACGGGGGATCTTTGTCTATGGGTGTAGGAGTGTGTGTGTGTGAGTGAAACTGCCCACGCACACAAACGCGTGTGCGCTTAGCCGCACGTGATGCGATTTTTTTTTGCTCTAACTCAGACCTCTCTGGTCGGTCAATTCTAGGAAGTGGAGTTGCAGCTACTTTGCCGCCTCCGCGGAAATACAGTTCCGTTATTAATTGAATAAAGCCTTCAGAGTCTGCATTCACGGTTCCAAGGAGCCATGCGGTCTTAAGTCGTACCAGACATTAACAACGACCCCAAATCACCACCAGCATTATCAGCCATGAGCAATCCACTGCTGGATGAAGACCTTCCTAAGCCGCCACCATCGCTCGCGGTCCTCCTTGCGATGGTCACAATCCACCCGGCTGATTTCGTGGTTGCACGATGTCTGTCTGTTTCCTCGTTCATGCAAATCACGTCAAGTGAAAATACATGTCGCAGTCTGCTATAATAAAGTCCGATTTTTCCGCTCTTACGCGTTACACGGCGGATCATGAAATGCTCGCCGTTAGCGGTGGGCAACATGCCGAGTGAAGCGCGATTGAAGAAGGTGTAAAGTGATTTTTTTTAATCGCGCTCAAAGCTCGGAGCCCGAGCCAAGCTCAAAAAACGACGCAAAAGACACTCGCTAAATACAAAGTTACGAGAGAAACTGATATGGTGAATATATTTGAACCAGTCCAGGGCCCCTCTCCTAGGTTGACTCGGCCTGAAATGAGTACCCAATGCGGTGTGTAAACAACACCAGGGAAACAAAGACGGCCGGGTGTGGTGATGACCACCACCTCGTGTCTCTTTCCGGCCTTCGTGGGCGTTAACCGCGCTGCGCTACAAACCCGGCGACCCAGGTTTAATTCCAGCTCGCAGGCATCAACACCAGTGACGATTATCTGGACCGGTCCTGGGCCTCTCCTACGTGGACTCTGGTGCGATGTGTGAACGATGTGTAAACGATGTGTGAACGATGTGTATACGGTGTGTGAACATCGCACCGGCGAGACAATGATGCTGGCCACCCATCACCGAGTGTGCGGTGCCGGCCTTCGTGAGTACAACTCGCTAACAACACTTGCTACAATAGTCTGTTAAGGCTACACGTGTGGGAGGGGGGGGGGCTTTGTCTTTCTTACCCAGAGGTTAGCGACCAATGCGAAGAGCTCGAGCCAGATGTAAGAGGTGACGTTTCAGGCAATGGCCGTTCTTCATAGCACACAGGGAGAAGGATCATCGTCCAAAACGCCGCCTATTATCATGTACAGTATATTTTATTTCCCATATTAGGCGGTGTTATGGATGGTGGTGATGATGATGATAAGACAGTAAGAGCGAGTGAAACAAAGGGAAGAGCTCAGGGTGATTGGTGGTGGTGGTGTTGGTGGTGACATTAACACTAACACTCGTGATCATGGTGGTCGTGGTGATGACAACAGTGACGATGATTATGACGAAGCAAGTGGAGGCAACACTGACCACGACGACGACGACGTTTGATGATGACATCACTGCTGATGATGATGGCGTTGACATCTGTCTGTCCGCATGCGTGGCGCAGGTCTCCGCCTGACCCAAGCTCCACCGAACATCCTCCTCGGCCCCCGGCGCCCGTCCGTTGGATCGTGGGGGGGTTCCTACGAGGCGGCATCGTCACACCCCGGCAGCCCCCCAACTCTCCCGCCCCTGCCCCCCACTCCGCCCAACTTCGTGAGTCAACATGGGCTCGCGAATCCTGCTGCGGCAGCAGCTGATGAAGGACCAGCTGTGCGAGGAGGAGCGAAGGACGCAGCAGCAACAGCAGCAGCAACAACAGCAGCAGCAGCAGAATGCGACGTTCTTGCCCGGCCAGCAACGGCCCAGCGCGCAGACGCCGGCCATCAACGTGCAGGTGCCGGCCGGCCTGCCCAAGGCACAGGTGCCGGTGCAGGTGCTCAAGGTGGGTCCTCGCTCCGCTTCTCTTGCGGGCGTTCTCCAAACTAGAGTTGAGACCGAATGATTCGTCAGCGCCGCCCGTCTGTCTGTACGTGCGTCTGTGCGTGCGTCTGTACGTGCGTCCGTAGTGGAGGGGTCCTCGCTCCGCTTCCCTTGCGGGCGGTCTCCAAACTTGAGTTGAGAGCGAATGATTCGTCAGCGCCGTCCGTCTGTCTGTGCGTGCGTCTGTGCGTGCGTCTGTGCGTGCGTCTGTGCGTGCGTCTGTGCGTGCGTACGTCTGTACGTGCGTACGTCTGTATGTGCGTACGTCTGTACGTGCGTCTGTACGTACTTCAGTACGTGCATACGTAGTGGAGGGGTCGTCGCTCCGCTTCTCTTGCGGGCGTTCTCCCAACTGTAGTTGAGAGCGAATGATTCGTCAGCACCGCCCGTCTGTCTGTGCGTACGTCTGTGCGTACGTCTGTGCGTACGTCTGTGCGTACGTCTGTGCGTACGTCTGTGCGTACGTCTGTGCGTACGTCTGTGCGTACGTCTGTGCGTGCGTCTGTGCGTACGTCTGTACGTGCGTCTGTGCGTACGTCTGTACGTGCGTCTGTGCGTACGTCTGTACGTGCGTCTGTGCGTACGTCTGTACGTGCGTCCGTAGTGGAGGGGTCTTCGCTCCGCTTCCCTTGAGTTGAGAGCGAATGATTCGTCAGCGCTGTCTGTACGTACAGGTAGTCCTCCGCTTACGATGGAGATGCGTTACGACGACCCCATCGTAAGTAAAAAATATCGTAAGTCGAAGATGGCCTAGCCTACCCAGGAGTCTTAAAGAATGGTGATAATTTAGCAAAACAGAGCAATTTACAGTACCGTACTGTATAAACTATATACTGTATGTATTTATTAATTACAATACTGTATTGCACAGTAAAATGTAAAGTAAGAAAACCAAAGTAAATTCTTAGCCGACCTATATGAACTGCAATTTAATAGAAAGTTTTTTCAGGAAACAATCCTATCTTCTATAAAAACTTTTAACATGCATTGAACGTAGCGTATCGTGGTAACCCTAAAATGAAATCGCTAAAGCTACGTATCATACATGGTTTGAACGTACCGTATCGTACCTCGTACGCTGCTGCCTTTGCCTGCCGCACGAAATTTTAAATATTTTACAATTTTGTCGTATCGCTATCGCCATCGTAAGATCAAAATATCGTAAGTCGGACCATCGTAACTCGGGGACTATCTGTACATACGTACGTACGTCCGGGACTTCACGATAACTCTCGTAAAGATGAATCCAGTACGGACGAAAGTTTTAGTGTGAAGTTGTGTTGCTGTTTGCGAATTACCCTGGCCGCATTGGTCACAGGATTATTGCCTGTAATTATTTAAAACACGCTTTGTTTGGGGGGGGGGGGGGGGGATGCGGGGTGGAGGACACCGGGACAGACTTCATGAAACCACGGGGGATGTCCCGGTCAAACCGCGACTCTGCGAGGCTTTGGCACAAATTCTTCCACGAGAGTAGTACCGTGGTGAACGTGGGACGTGGCGAGGCGAGGCGATGACGCTCGTTGTATTTCTCCCGTTGTTTCCGTTGTCACCAGGTCCAGACGAACCTGGAGAATCCGACCAAGTACCACATCCAGCAGTCTCAGCACCAGCAGGTGAGGGTGCTTGAGTCCCGTCCTGAACTCGCTCGCTCACCAGAGCTCGCAAACGGGTTTTGATTCCTTACCCGTACCCATACCCGGCCGCACCAGGGTCGCAAACGGGTACCCGTACCCGGTTGAGTACGGGTATCGGGTAGGGTACGGATATCGGGTACCCGGTTGCGACCTCTGTCGCTCACTCACGGCTTGGCACAGCGCCGTCCCACCGCTCACTCGGGGAAGTGTGGAGAATCTCCGCTGCAGTGAATCTGCGGAATCCACGGCGGCAACGGTCCGCGCAGTCCACAGCGGTGGCGCCAACCCGCGACTCGCCGCCTCGCGACCCGTCGCGCTGCCCGTGCCTCGCCCCTTCCCAATGTCGCGGCGCGTGCTCCCCGTCCCTCGCGCCCGTGCGCAGGTCAAGCAGTACCTGACCACGACGCTGGGCACCAAGGTCGCGCACCAGGTGCTGGCCATTTCACGCCCGTCGGCGAGCTCCGCTCCTAACATGACCGGCGCCGCCGCCACCGGCGCCGGCACTGCCGGGGTTCACGTCTCCCCCGGGCAGCAGCAGCAGCAGTTTGCCACGACGGCCCCGACGGCGGGGGCGCTGGCGGCGGCGGCGGCGGCGCAAACGCAGTCCGTGTCGCCTCACGGCTCTGCCGTGCTGCTGCCGGGCAGCGGATCCGGCCTCAACAGTCCCATGGCCCTGCTCAACATCAACAACAACGAGAGCAGCGAGAGGGAGGTGCGTGCTCGTACGTGCGCGTGTACACATGTGCGTGCGCGCGTGTGCGTGTACACATGTGCGTTTACACCTGTGCATCTACACGTGTGTGTGTGTGTGTGCACATGCGTGCGTTTATTTTGCCGGCTGATACTTGCCCGTTGACAGCACTCTTCCCCGACAGTCTATTAAAGACTAAAAGGGGTGGGGGATCTTTGTCTTAATGGTTTTTACCTGCTGTGAATTGCTCGCTCACACCACTTGCTGGGAGGAAGGGTCCCCCACTGGAGCGAGCCGTAGAGTGGTAGTTGGCCTGCTCTTCCACATGGACCCAGAGACGTCTTGGAAGACCTGGGAGCACGCGCATCTTCAGCCATCGCACGCGACCTGCCGACCATTTGTTCTACTGCTGCCCCATTGATTCAACTGCCGCTCCGAGAGATCTAATTTAACCCCCCGCAGCTTCTGGATTGTCCAGCGCGCTGACCCATTCGCCCTGCTGTGACAGGCCGCTTCGTTTCAGCTGTAGGCTATCGCTGCATCGTTTTACCCGAGAAAGCATCGCCGCGTCTCAACACTCTTTGTCAGTGGGGGTGCTGCTAAGTTTTCGCAGTAGGGGGCGACAATCGCTGCGCTTTTCCCCAGCGCAGGAATTTGCGAGTGATCTGTACCAGCGTCACGGTTCAAATTCGAACAAAAAACTTTTTTTCTTTTACCGTGTAAGGCCTACTAAGCTATAATAGCTCTTTTTTTTTTAGAAGCGACCTTGCCACGAATAATAGCTCAACGAAATGATTTTCCTGTGGAAAATTACACCAGCCAAATCCTCCAAACGCATGATGTTGATTCTAATTGGTGAGGGAGAAACCAGAGGACCCGGAGAAAAATCCATTCCACCACGGGGAGAACACGCAAACTCCAAATATACAGCAGCAGGCGTCACGGTTGGGATCGAACCCATGACCTCCTGCATACCAGGCGAGGGAGTTAACATCTCACCAGGATTGTGAGATTGGCAAATTTGGATCGTGACCTCCGGCATTCGTGCCCACATCTTTACCAAATGGCATCACACGATCATTCCTGTCCATTGCGAAATGTACGGCGTGCATTGCGTTACATATTTGTTATTTTTAGTTTACGATTGATGCAGCCGCCGCAGTGTTAACCAGGGCGGCAGTGGGATTCGAGGCCCTTTAGCCGGCAGTGGTGTGAGCGAGTAACCTGCAAGGTGGACTTGTGTTTAACGTGTTTCGGTCACCCAGGTTCACGTCTGTTTGCTTTGGCCAGGCTGTGTAACCTGGTCCCCAACACCGCACAAACGTCGTCTATTTTCAGGTTTTCTATTTTTATAAACGGAATAGTTTTTTTTTTTTTAAAGCTTTTGCCACACTGATGACAGAGAGGTTATTTATAGTCGCCCGTGCGAGTTCATCTTGCGAAAGAGCAGATGACGCAGATCCCGGCTTCCATTTGCCGCGAAGCTTCTGGGCCGCGACCTCTAAACCTCATCTGCTGCACGAACCTTGGTAGCAGCAGATGATGTGGATAATGGGTGATGATGGTGATGATGATGGACAAATGGAAAATGTCAAATTCTCTGGTCTATGTGCATCATCATTACAGTGATGATTCACCACTCTGCTACTCCTCACTGGCAATCACCTGCATGGTCCATCAATCGCCTCAATGTCAAATTATCGTTGTTGGTCGAACATCAACATCGGGCGTACGCAAGAAGAAAGTGTGCGTTAACACAGGCACCAAGTTCTGTAATATATTTCGATTTAAAGCTTTCGTGACTGCAGGGATTCATCTTCTTGGTTCTTTCGGTAAAGTCACGTAGAAGGGAAGTAATAAAATAATAAAAATAAAACATAATAAAATTAAATAAAATTATTCTCACGACGTTTCGGCCACAACGCAAGCAGCCGTCCTCAGGTGAAAACCAGGTCCGTCGAGGCGACAGAGTTCTGTAATATACACAGAGGTTGTCTTACCGCTGGAATAAATGTTTCTATGTACGTTGAACCTCTTTCGCGCACCGTACGTAGCCAACCCTGCTAATCGGAGATGCGGGGGGAAGGACAACAAACTAAACACAAAAAACTGTTGTGAAGAAATGTATTTTCTATTCAGTATAGTGGTGTAAGTATATAGTTGTGCAGTGTGTCATAGTGTCGTACGTAGTGTGTATTGTAGTGTATGTACGTTGAACTTCTTTCGCACCGTACGTCGCCAACCGTGCTAATTGGAGGTGCGGGGGAAGGACAATAAACTAAACACACAAACAGCAAAGTGCACAGCTGCCAGTGGCTTCTAACGGTGTGTATCAATGGGCTCTGACATGGCCAAACGGAGGGAATCGAACGTGGGACGTAATGAGTCCCTGTGGGCTTTCGCCTGGTTAAGTAAAGCGCGTTCAAAGCGTAGTGGATCTCATCGCGGGTCTTAATTGGTTGAATAGGAAAAAAATATTCAAGCGTCAATCTCAGTCTGCTGTCATCTTGTTAAGTGAAGGATGTCAATGGCAAGAGAGACTGCGACTTGCAATAAGCTCTCACCTGGCTAAATGAAGGACATCGCGAGGCACGATGAATCTCGGTGGTCGCTCACCTGAGTGATTGTCAAGTGCGTCGGTCGCGATACGACGTCTCACTGCGTTCTCTCACGGCTAAAATGAAGGGCGGCGGAGTTCAGTGGACCTCGGCGGGTTCTTGCCTGGTTGAAATGAGCACGCGAATCTCGCTCGTTGATGAACGTCGTCCGGCTTCTCACGTGGTTAAATAAAGGACGCCACGAGGCACGGTGAATCCGAAACGGGGGTCACGCGATCGCCCCCCCCCCTCCCCCTTCGCCAGAGGTCGCAAACGGGTTTTGATTCCTTTCCCGTACCCGGCCGCACCAGGGTCGCAAACGGCTACCCGTACCCGTACCCGGCAACCGGGTATCGGGTAGGGTACGGGTATCGGGTACCCGGTTGCGACCTCTGCCCCTCGCCCCCCCCTCCCCGCTCGTAAACTAAACGACGCGCGCCCGCGCGTGTCTCCCGCCGTGTCGCGGCACAGATGGAAGACGTCATCGATGACATCATCAGCCTGGAGTCGAGCTTTAACGACGAGATGTTCAGCCTCGTCGACTCCTCCGGCCTCCCGCTCTCCAACACGGTGAGCAAGCGCGGCGGAGTCGCGTCGGCTCTGCGAGTCCGTGCGTCCGTCTGTCGGTACCGGGGGGAGGGCACTCTGGTAGAGGCGGTCCGCCGAGGACGTAATCCGAGTGCCGTGTTGCGTTGCCGTTGGCGACACGGCCTAGAGAAAACCGGACACGTTGACCTGGCTCTGTGTGTCCGTGCATATCGTGGGGGTCACGGCAACTCTCGCAGAGATGATCTGATACCAGCGAAACTTTTAATGCAAAATGTTGTTTGCTATTGGGGGGGGACTCAGCCTGGGCAAAACCGGTCACGTTGATCTCGGGATGAATGAATTAGCTCTGCCCGTGTGTAACGTGGGGGCCACGGTAACGCTCGCGGCGTTGATCCGATACCAAGGGAACTCCGGTGCGGTGTTGCGTTGCTATTGGTGGGGACTCGCCCCTGGAGAACACCGGGGCAAATTGATCCAAAGAATTCTGCCCAACAAACCTGGAGACAAAAACACCGGTGCCAGAAGGGGGGAAGCAAGGCACCTCCGCTCCCATCTCCGCCTCCGCCCGGCAATGCCCTCCCCGACGCCGCGGCCTCGCAACGTGGTAGCGCGTCCACGCGCCTTGCAACGTCGCATCGTCGTAGCGCGTCCACGCGCCTTGCAACGTCGCATCGTCGTAGCGCGTCCACGCGCCTTGCAACGTCGCATCGTCGTAGCGCGTCCACGCGCCTTGCAACGTCGCATCGTCGTAGCGCGTCCACGCGCCTTGCAACGTCGCATCGTCGTAGCGCGTCCACGCGCCTTGCAACGTCGCATCATCGTAGCGCGTCCACGCGCCTTGCAACGTCGCATCGTCGTAGCGCGTCCACGCGCCTTGCAACGTCGTATCGTCGTAGCGCATCCACGCGCCTTGCAACGTCGCATCATCGTAGCGCGTCCACGCGCCTTGCAACGTCGCATCATCGTAGCGCGTCCACGCGCCTTGCAACGTCGCATCGTCGTAGCGCGTCCACGCGCCTTGCAACGTCGCATCGTCGTAGCGCGTCCACGCGCCTTGCAACGTCGCATCGTCGTAGCGCGTCCACGCGCCTTGCAACGTCGCATAGTCGTAGCGCGTCCACGCGCCTTGCAACGTCGCATCGTCGTAGCGCGTCCACGCGCCTTGCAACGTCGTAGCGCGTCCACGCGCCTTGCAACGTCGCATCGTCGTAGCGCGTCCACGCGCCTTGCATCGTCGCATCGTCGTAGCGCTTGGAGAGGACCGTCGCAAGGCCACGTTGCTGCTGGGGACTTAAACCGCGTACCCTCTTTGCCCAAAGCGATGACCCAAACTTTGGAGACACAACCCAGAGCAAAGGTGGGGGGTGAGGGGGTGGGGGGGGGAAGGAGTTGCAATTATGGAGGCGCCCGTACGGGCCCACCCGTACCCCCATCCACTTCCACGGTTATTCGGGAACCAACCCTACAAGCCCCGCCCATCACCTCCCGTCCAGCGGCACGACGTGGGAGCAGAGGGAAGACATTTCCCCCCCCACCCGTTAGTTTTTTCATTTTTCCGATTGGTCGAATAGTGTAAACTGCAAGCCGCTAGAGGAGTCGGTTACTCGAGTGAGCAGTATTACAGCCCGTGCTCTAATGCGTGTGCCTGGTTGTGTTTGTGTCCGCCTATGTGTCCCAGCTGCCGGTTCAAAGCAACGGGCTGGAGGTGTATGGGGGCGCCGGGGTGGTGATCCCGGGCATCACACTGACCAGCACCAGCTGTCCCGCCAACCTGGCGCCCGTCAAGCTGGAGGTTGTGGGTAAGAGCGTCTTGCCGTTTTATTTTTTGTATAAATATCGCGTTTTGGTTGGAACCACTTGGGTCCCTGCGTGTGTATATGGGTCACTGTGATTCTATGGATCTCTGTGTGTGAGTCTGAGCGTTTCAGTGCGAGTGCATGAGTCTGTATGTTAGTCTATGGGTCTCTGTGTGGGTCTCTGAGTCAGGGAATCTCTGTGAGTCTTTGGGACTCTGTGCGAGTCTGAGTCTGCGTGAGTCTGTGAGTTTGTGCGAGTCTCTGTGAGTCTATGGGTCTCTGTGTGAGTCTATGGGTCTCTGTGTGAGTCTATGGTTCTCTGTGTGAGTCTATGGGTCTCTGAATCAGGGAGTCTCTGTGAGTCTATGGGTCTCTGTGTGAGTCTATGGGTCTATGTGTGAGTCTATGGGTCTCTGTGTGAGTCTATGGGTCTCTGTGTGAGTCTATGGGTCTCTGTGTGAGTCTCTGGGTCTCTGTGTGAGTCTATGGGTCTCTGTGTGAGTCTATGGGTCTCTGTGTGAGTCTATGGGTCTCTGTGTGAGTCTCTGGGTCTCTGAGTCAGGGAGTCTCTGTGAGTCTGAGTCTGCGTGAGTCTGTGAGTTTGTGCGAGTCTCTGTGAGTCTATGGGTCTCTGTGTGAGTCTATGGGTCTCTGAATCAGGGAGTCTCTGTGAGTCTGTGGGTCTCTGTGCAAGTCGCCGGTGATGGGGCCGAGACCACCGGCTCGCCGTGCTTGAACGCTCTCTCGGGGTTTAAGTCGCGGTTTGGGGGCGGCTGAACCCCCCCGCCCCGGACGTGAACCTAGGATCGCGGCGACAGCGGCAACGTCCTCCCTCCTGGTCTGCGTCGCTCCGATACCGCTAATGGACACGCATGTCTTTTGCACAGAAGATGAGCATCGTGTCCTGGTGAAGGAAAGGCAGAAGAAAGACAACCACAACCTCAGTGAGTGCCTGCTCCCGCTCTACGCGCACACTCCCTCGCGTGTGTGTGTGTCCGCGTGTGTGTGGGGAACGGTAGTGTAGCGGTTAGCACGCTGCGCTACGAAGCTGGCGACCCGGGTTCGATTCCCGCTCAAGGCCGACACCAGTGACGATTATCTGAACCGGTTCTGGGCCTCGCCTTGGTCGACTCGGCTTCAAATGAGTACCTGGCGCAGTTCGTAAAAACATCACCACTAGGGCGACAAAGGCGGTCGGGCTTGGTGCTGGCCACCCACCCCCTCGTGTGCCATTCTGGCCTTCATAGGTGCTCGCTAACAGCACTTGCCCCTACAGTCTGTTAAGGCTATACGGCAGATAATTATTTTCGTGTGCGTGTATGTGCAGCTTCACCCGGGAGCTCTCCGTTCCAGGAGAGGGGGGCGTGGAACGTCTTTAAGTTGACGGGTCGAATAGGACCTTTGAATTACCAATGGGAGCTGCGGTGGTGAGATGTTAACTCCCTCGCCTGGTATGCAGGAGGTCGGGGCTTCTATCCTGACCCTGACTCCTGTTGTCTCTTTAGAGTTTGCGTGTTCTCTCTTCGCAATCATAAACTTGTGTTTTAGGTTATTTAGATTGTTTTGCTGCTATAAATGTACGCATGATAAGCCACTTCGTTGAGCTATCATTTGTGGCCATGTTGTTTCTGAAAAAGAAACGAATAGCTCAGTGGGCTTTACCTAGTAAGATAAATAAAACAGTTCAGTAATTGACATGATATTCTTCAGTTAATAAAAACAAATCACATCATCACCTCAACCATCACGCCGTGGAAATGATCAGCATCATCTTCGTCGTCATCATCGTGAAGGTCGATTGGTTCATGAGGATTGTTTCAAATGTGTGGAGAGGCTTTCATTCAGCAGTGAATTGACTAAAATCTGAAATATCATTATTATTAGTCAAATACTCAAAAGTCGTCGAGATCATTCTCAATGCATTCATCACCTGAACTATCAAGCTATGAAATCATAATCATCGTCGCCATTATAATAATTGCCATCATCATTATTGTCGCCATCATCATCATCGTCGTCGTCACCATCATAATCATTGCCATCATCATCGCCATCATCATCGTTGCCATCATAATCATTTCCATCATCATCGTTGCCATCATAATCATTTCCATCATCATCGTCGTCACCATCATAATCATTGCCATCATCATCGTTGCCATCATAATCATTGCCATCATCATCATCATCATCGCCATCATCATCATTGCCATCATAATCATTGCCATCATCATCGTTGCCATCAGCATTGCCATCATCATCATCATCGCCATCATCATCGTTGCCATCATAATCATTGCCATCATCATAATCATTGCCATCATCATTGCCATCATAATCATTGCCATCATCATCGCCGCCATCATCGTCGTCGTGAAGTTCGTTCGTCCCCTGACCTCCTGTCGCTCTCTTCTCCTGCCGCAGTCGAGCGGAGGAGGAGGTTCAACATCAACGACCGCATCAAGGAGCTCGGCCTGATGATTCCCAAGTCGAACGATCCGTGAGTGCTCCACCCCTCGGCGGCCAGCACCTGCCGGGCGTGCGCTCGCAAACAGCGGGGGTCCTGCGGGGGGCCAGGGGGGGGGGGGACGCAGGCGGGGGGGGCGGTGAGGGATGAGGGGTGGGTTAGGCCGCGTTAGGGCGAGCGACGGGCTGGAGGGAAATGCGTCCCGAGGAACGGGTGGCTCTTGTAGCTCCAGGCTGAGCCACGCACCGGCGTCAACACGGTGCAACCCCGGTTGGATATTGATTTGTTTACCTTTCCCATACTTCGCCCTCCTGTCGTGTTTTTTTATTGTTTGCTGTTGTAATGTTCTCACCCCGTGTGCCCTTACCGTCTGTGAAACAGAGCTTTATAGCTCATCGCATTCCTCCAGTGTAAATAAATATTGTGATCGCGATCTTCACCTTGCACCGTTCTAAATCGCCATCTTATTCATTAACCGTCGCGTTGAAAATCGTCGCCGTAACCCCCCGAAATGTATTGACCGTGCGCCCGGCGCGTGTCCGCCCGCAGCGACATGCGCTGGAACAAGGGCACCATCTTGAAGGCGTCCGTCGACTACATCCGCAAGCTGCAGAAGGAGCAGCAGAGGCTGCGGGAGGCCGACTCGAGGCAGAAGAAGCTGGAGCAGACCAACCGGGGACTGCTGCTGCGTATACAGGTGCCCGCACCCTGTCACACGATGCCCGCACCCTGCCACGCCGTCCCCGCACCCTACCACACGATGCCCGCTCCCTGCCACACGATGCCCGCTCCCTGCCACGCCGTCCCCGCACCCTACCACACGATGCCCGCTCCCTGCCACACGATGCCCGCACCCTGCCACGCCGTCCCCGCACCCTACCACACGATGCCCGCTCCCTGCCACACGATGCCCGCACCCTGCCACGCCGTCCCCGCACCCTGCCACACGATGCCCGCTCCCTGCCACACGATGCCCGCTCCCTGCCACACGATGCCCGCACCCTGCCACGCCGTCCCCGCACCCTGCCACACGATGCCCGCACCCTGCCACACGATGCCCGCTCCCTGCCACACGATGCCCGCTCCCTGCCACACGATGCCCGCTCCCTGCCACACGATGCCCGCACCCTGCCACGCCGTCCCCGCACCCTGCCACACGATGCCCGCTCCCTGCCACATGATGCCCGCTCCCTGCCACACGATGCCCGCTCCCTGCCACACGATGCCCGCACCCTGCCACACGATGCCCGCTCCCTGCCACACGATGCCCGCTCCCTGCCACACGATGCCCGCTCCCTGCCACACGATGCCCGCACCCTGCCACGCCGTGCCCGCTCCCTGCCACACGATGCCCGCTCCCTGCCACACGATGCCCGCTCCCTGCCACACGATGCCCGCACCCTGCCACACGATGCCCGCTCCCTGCCACACGATGCCCGCTCCCTGCCATACGATGCCCGCTCCCTGCCACGCCGTGCCCCACCGTTGGCAAGCGGTTGCGTGGAGCAGGAGCTCGAATCGGCGCGGTCGTTGCGACCGCTCTTGACACCCTCCACCACCCCCCTCTCCCCCACTCCGGCCGGCAGGAGCTGGAGATGCAAGCGAGCACTCACGGCCTGCCGCTCTCCTCCCCCTCCGGCCTCAACACGGCCGAGCTCATGACGCAAGTCGGCATCGCCGGCGACGTCTCCGCCGCCGCCGCCGCCGCCTTCGACCTCGGCCGGCACAACCAGCCGCCGTCTCGGGCCTCGTCTGACGCGGGCGGCCTGGACCTCGACAGCGTTTGCGGTTTCTCCTCCTCCGGCGGCGCCTTCTCGCCGGCGCTCAGCTACGGCGGAGACGGCGGCGGCGGCGGCATCGGCGGCGGCGATGTTCTGATGGACGAACTGATGAGCCCGCTGGGGCCGCGCGACCCCCTGCTGTGCGCCCTCTCGCCCGGCGCGACCTCAAAGACCAGCAGCCGGCGCTCCAGCTTCAGCATGGACGACGAGGACATGTGACGGGGCGCCCAAGGGGGACGGATTGACGATGAGGATGAGGTTGGAGGGGTAGATGTAGGTGAGGAGAGGGAGATGCAGAGGCTGTGAAACAGGAGCAGGTCTTCAACATTCCAACGTTTGGTTTTCGTTTTTTATTTTTGTAACGCGTTTTTTATTCTTCTTCCGTCTTCGTCCGCCGTAGATTCTTTTGTCGATGCGGCAATCGCACGGTTTTGCCGGGGTCGTAGGCCGGGAGTTTTAGCAACGTGGAGATCTTGTGGCACGTGAGCTGTGCTACGATTGGACGGTTTGATCGGGTCGTAGGTCGGCGTTTGAGTCAAGTGGCGATGACGTGCGAGATTGAAGCCGACGTTGTGACTGGCGGTCACGGGTCCCATAGTTTTAAAGAAATTCGCGATCATGTGACGCCCAAACCGTGCTCACGTTTGGACAGTTTTGCCACTGACACATTGGAAATCGGCGATCACATGGCGTGATATACAGGCCACGATTGGACGGCTGCGTAGGTCGTAGGTCTGAGGACGTGGAGATCGTTGTGGTGCAAGTTATGAGACTGCGATTGAACGGTTAGCGGTGTGGGTGAGGTAGGTCCGATTTTTCCGGATTTGACAGTTGATGAGAGTCGTGGGTTCGCGTCACCTTAGGCGCCGTCCATCGTGAAACAACAACAACAACCAACAGCAACTTCAGAGTGGGACTCTTTATTATGATTTAAAAAACGCGCCATTGCGGGCCGTGGATCCGGGTGGGCTGTGTTGTGTCAGCAGCGTCGGTCCATGAAGAAGCGGGACGATGAACGTGCATGGAGGTACTCGCGTGCCATGATTACGAGCGTTGCGTTGTTGTCACCAAGCCCGGGCTCGCGATCGATATTCCCCGCCGCTGGTTAGTTTCTACGGGAATATCTTTCCCGTTCACTTTTTTGTTTCGCATTTACTCACCATTCCAGAAGCTGCGTCATTAGCCTCTCGATATTATGATGGTGGTTGTTGTTGTTGTCATGAGTAGTTCCTAAACTTTAATAGGAATGCACCTTTGTGTATGCCGTATTCTCCAAATTTCACTTTTCCTCCCTGTGTGTTGAGGCAAGAGTTGGTGGGGGGGGGGGTGCGTTTTATCATCCGGCACACGTGCGTGTTAGTGCGTGTTAGTGCGTGTTAGTGCGTGTTAGTGCGTGTTAGTGCGTGTTAGTGCATGTTAGTGTGTGTGTGTGTGTGTTAGGCATCTGTGTGTGTTAAGTGTTTGACTGCTTGTGTGTGAGTGTGCCTGTGCAGCAGTTAGTGCGTGTTAGTGTGTGTTAGTGTGCGTTAGTGTGTTAGTGTGTGTTAGTGTGTGTTAGTGTGTGTGTGTGTTAAGCATCTGTGTGTGTTAAGTGTATGACTGCTTGTGTGTGAGCGTGCCTGTGCAGCAGTTAGTGCTGCACCCCCGAGTTCGATTCCCGCTCACGGCCACCAACATCGGTGACTGTTATCTGAACCGGCCCTGAGCCTCCCCAGGTCGTCTCGGCCTCAAATGAGTACCTGGTGCGGTGTGTAAACATCGCCAATGGGGAGACAAAGGCGGCCGGGCGTGGTGCTGCTAGCCACCCACCCCCTCGTGTGCCGAGGCTACACCGGGGATCTGTGTCTTTTACCAGATTTGAGTGACTTTATTGACAGCGGCCACAAGATTGGGTTGCTTCTTAACTTTGCGAAGCGTCTTATAACCTGGAGAATACGGCACACTGCATTGAATTCACACACGCGCACGTGTGTGTGTGTGTGTGAAATCCAATAAATACACCTATTATGATATTAACGCATATGTACATACATTTACCTGTGATTATAACCCGTATACATTGCATATAATTGGTTTATATCCATCAGTAATTGTGCGTGCGTGTATAAATTTATCTCGAACATCAAGGCCTCCGGCTAGCCTTGTAGACTGTTAGGAGAGAAGCTGTTGTTGGTGACCACCTACAAATCCACCTCCCTAGGTGCCTGCGTGTTGCTATATAAATATGTGTATATAAGAGGAAATGTATCCCGCTGTGCAGCGTTGCATAGGGCAAAACACTTTAGGGCGCTTTAGACTTTGGCCACTTGTATGGGATAGCCAACGAGAACGGAGAGATGGGGGTGGCGGGAGTGGGGGGTTACCCCCCCGCCTCCCCGCCCCCCCCGGTCGGGCAGCGTGCACCTCGCGTACGGAGAGTGAAGAACGCTTCCAAGTTTTGACTTCGTGCAATTTGCGGTGAGCTCGCTCATTGGTGTGACCCAACCCTAGCCAGACCCTGACCCCGAACACAAATCTTGACCCCGAACACAAACCCTGACCCCTAACACAAACTCTGACCCCTAACACAAACTCTGACCCCTAACGCAAGCCCTGACCCCTAACACAAACCCTGACCCCTAACACAAACCCTGACCCTAACACAAACCTTGACCCCTAACAAACCCTTACCCCTAACACTAACCCTAACCCCTCACTAATACACTAACCAGACCCTGACCCCTAACACAAACCCTGACCCCTAACACAAACCCTGACCCTAACACAAACCTTGACCCCTAACAAACCCTTACCCCTAACACTAACCCTAACCCCTCACTAATACACTAACCAGACCCTGACCCCTAACACTAACCCTAACCCCTAACACTAACCCTAACCCTAACCAGACTCTGACCCCTAACACAAACCCTAACACAAACTCTGACCCCTAACACAAACTCTGACCCCCAAGACAAACCCTAACCCTTAACACAAACCCCAACTTCAGCCATTAAGCCCAAATCCCTCCTCTAACCCTAATCCCTGAACCAGAAATCTAACCCTGACCCAGACACGTAACATAAACCCTAACCCGAAAGCCAGACACTAACTAAAACCATGCCCCTAACCCAAACTCCAACCCTAAACCAAACCCAATCCTAGCCCAGACCCAACACTAATCCTCTTAATCCAACCCTAATCCCCAAGCCAAAATCTTCCCTTTAACCGAGACTCAAGACGCCAAAGCCCAGACACTGCTCCCGTTAAACCCCCACAAACCCAGACCCGCAGCCCAAACCTCAGACCTCTAAACCTGGACCCTACCCGGGACTCTAACCCTCATCCGGGCCCTGCGGTGGCCACGTAGAATCTCTCCCTCCGAGCGGCAGGAACGCTCGGATATCCCGGCCGGGTGCGTCACCTCCTCTTCTCTCTGAGACGCGCCCCAGGTCAGGCGTAAGACTTGACGTGCGCTGTGACGGGAGCGGGAAATATGTTCCGGGTCCCCCCTGGTAGGTAGATCTGGAGTGGGTGGCGCGTGCCTGCTGCCCTAAGTAGTAGCCACAGCTGTATTGAGATGTTATACTGGATGTGCTGTGGCCTGGGTGTGGCAGAAGCGGTTAAAATGAAGCCCTGGTCACGACCCATTTCATTGCCTCCCGTGACGTGGTGGAGAAGGGAGTCCGCCGATATTGAGCCGATGGGAACCGCGCTCGTGCAGTGCGGTTCTTGGGAGCCTTAACCCGCACACACAGTTGGTCGCAGGTCTCTCGTCGCACGCAACGCGGCGGCGCCGCCACCGCAGAAGCTCGTCCCGGGTCCGCGTTCGGTCAGAGGTCGGGCCCGGCGGTTCTCTTTTTGCGGCTATGTGGACGTGGCGGTTATAAAGAGACGACGTTGACTCTGTGACCGTTCACCCCGCCGCCGCCGAGGTAGCGCGTTCGGTTCGATTCGCGGCGGCTTTTCTCTGCGTTGGGAATATTTTGTTGCTACTTGTGATTTTTCACCGATTTACATTTTTCGCTACGAGGTCGCGCGCGCAGTGGCGGGCTCCTGCATTTTCAGTGGAGGGCGCAAACCCCCCCACGGATGGTTTCTTGAACACAGCGTCACGCGACTGATGACACGTTCCTCCTTTCCTGTTAGCTTACCGCTGACTGTCGAGAAAATATCTGTTCCGTAAAACATAAATGACACTTTTATCAATAACACTGCCCTGAAGAGGAAAACACTGTAGGCCACGTTTCCCTTTAGAGCAACTCCCCACTGTCACTATTCCAATGCAACATCGCACTTTAATTTTAACCCCCCCCCCCCCCCCCCGTCTGATTCTATTCCAGCCCTTGATGTTGTGCTATAGCAGGCGGGAAAACAAACAATGTTACCCTGCTGACGATCCCCTATTAACGGTGAGACCCGGTGCATTGGAATAGTGAGTGGCAGTTATCTTGCTGCCACAAAATAAACTCAACTTTGTATTTGACCAGGTAAGGCCCACTGAGCTATACGGCACTTTTTAAATCCTTTATATTAAGTTCACTTGCTTGCGCGCTTACGACCGTGCAAATCTTTCGGTCGTTTTTTAACCCACTTCCCGTGATCCAATCGAGCTGACATTTTGCACACAGACTCGTTGTGCCTGACAATGTTCGTGAAATTTTTTTTCTCCAAAATTTTACACTTTTTAGGACAAATATATTTAATTACCAATTGCTTAATGGTGCAATGCAATCATCTGACCCATAGGTGGCAGCCATCTCAAGCCAGAGGACGAGAGGACTCTAGCCGCCACGCATATAAAGGATTTATAGTGAAAAACTTTGTTTTTACGGGTTATACTTGTTCAGAAGCTACCCTGGCCACAAATAATATCTCAACGAAGTGGCTTATCACGTGGACATTTATAGCAGCCAAATACTCTAAACGCGTGTTTATAAATGTGGAGGGAAAAGCCGGAGGACCCGGAGAAAAATCCACTCGACCACGGGGAGAGAAAGACACGCAAACTCCAAAGATACAGCAGGCAATGAGGGTAGGGTCAAGATCGAACCCACGACCTCCTGTAAACCAGGCGAGGTAGTTAACATTTCACCACCGTGGCACCCCTAATGGCCTGAGTCCCCCCAGTTGTGCCGAGCCGTTCCAACAGAAAGACGGAGCCACTCGCGGACTCCGCGTTTTAACTACTCTTTGCAACTTCTTGGTTCTTTCGGTAAAGTCACGTAGAAGGGAAGTAATAAAAAAATAAAACATAACAAAATAAAATAATTCTCACTGTGAGAATTGTGTGAATTATTTTATTTTGTTATGTTTTATTGTTATTATTTTATTACTTCCCTTCTACGTGACTTTACCGAAAGAACCAAGAAGATGAATCCCTGCAGTCACGAAAGCTTTAAATCGAAATTTACTCTTTGCAAATGTGATGATCGCTCTTTTAACCCCGTGTTTCCACCGCACATCCGAGCCGAGCCAAAGCAACCCCCCCTCCCCCCCTCGGCACGGAGTGGTTTTTCCACAGCAGCTGTTCACCGTGCTGAGCCAGAACCCGTGGTTCGCTGCAGGCCTCGAAACACATCTGGCTTAAGGGCCAAGCGGGGGCGCTAGCGACGTGTCCAATAACGTTCAACGTTGTCCAGTCGCCCGCGTGGCGCGAGTTGCCTCCACGCGTCGCGTGAGTGAGCGAGCGTCTTCGCTCGTTCAGCACGTGCGGCACGGGACACGGCTTCTGCAGCGACGGGGAAAAGCACAGCCTGGCACATCCTGAGCTGCGAGTTTGATACAAATCTCACATCGCTCCACTCGATACGTATTACAATATATATCGACTCCATAGTGTTGATCACTTTTGTAGGGGTTTTTTTCTCTTCAGGTAAACAACTTGTGTATGTTTTGGTTTTGTGTTAAAGTTAAACTCTTGTTTGCATGATGCTTGGGTTGGGGAGGGCCTTAAGTTGTGTTGCCCCCCCCCCCGCCGCTCACACCACCACCCCTTCCCCAGGATTCATTTGTTTGACCGTCGTCTGACTGACAGCTGATGTGTTTGGTGGTGTTGCTACGGTGAAGATGAACGCTGGGTCCGCGTTTTGAAACATTCTGCAACACGGCCCGGGCGAGCGGGGGTAACTTAAACACTCACTTAGGGGGGTGAACGTGAGAGTCGATAGACAAATTTTTTTTATATTCTAACAACTTTATCGCTCTTCCTTTGAACGAATAAATACATGTATGCACACCCCTATAGGTTTTGTTTGTCACATGTATGCAGCTTGTACACACGCGTATGCAACTCGTGTTTATACTTAAGCGGTTGTGCTTTGGCTACGTTGTCCCCACCTGAAGAAGGACGCTTGTGTTGCGCCTGAAACGTGATTTTATTTCGTTATTTAATTTTTTTACCTTCGTGACTTTACCGAAAAAAAACCCCAAAAAGTATGAATCCTTGCAGTCACGAAAACTTCAAATCTAGACCTTGTGTTTAGATTGTTGTCCCCCCCACCCACCCGATCTCGTCAAGGATCATAAACCATCATCACGTGATCTCCGGTCATCCTCCCAGCAGCAGCAGCAACAACAGCAGCAGCATCAACAGCAGCAGCAACAGCAGCAGCAGCAACAGCAGCAGCAGCAGCAACAGCAGCAGCAGCAGCAACAGCAGCAGCAACAGTAACAGCAGCGGATTTTCGCTCAGCCGTCGAACAAAGACGTCGGTCGCCGCCTCGCCCGGCGCTTTCAGAAACGCTTCTGCGGCCGTCTGGAACGCTTCTTCCCTTCCGACATTAGGAAGCCGCTTGCTTCACGGTGACCTGCACCCCAAACGGTATTAACCGGGGCGGACGCCGGGGCTCAACATGACGCGTCAACGGCATCTCGTGTCCCGTCCCCCCCCCCCCCGGTGTTGTGAGATCTACATCTCTATTTGTTGTTTATGTTAACCAGGTAAGGCGCCCGCTGAACTAAACACCGCTTTTTCAGAACGAGCCTAGCCGCAAATGAGAGCTCAACGAAGTGGCTTATCGCGCGGACATTG